TAAATAAATATATATATATATATATATATAATATAATACTATATTTAATAACATTTTCATTAAATTATTGTCATGATTTTTAAATATGCACAAATATTTTTGATTAAATTAAATTAAATTTTATTAAAAAACGGTAAAATATAAACAATTAAGTTTACTTTTAAATAAATTGTATGTTGTTCTCTCGTGCTTCTTTTACAATACTTAATCGTTGTCGGTTGCCACGTAATAGTCAGACACGTAGTTTTCCCAACGGTTAATATTGTCTTTTTAAATTGCACAAGAATGCCGGAATTTTCAAGTTGCTTCTTTTTTAATTTTTTTATTTCAACTTCTGCGTTCCAAGGCCCGTAATTGACAACCGTTGTTGAATAGCATGTTTTGACATTGATCGCAATGTAACCCATGTCTAAAAATATTTTTTTACTATTAATTATTTATGAGCACTGTTTACTCTCGTAATTAATTTATTTACAGATTGAATTTCAGTTTATTTAAATGTACCTACAGTACACACCAAGTTAGGAAAAAGTCAAAATGGTGTCAAAATAATTTTTTGTTGCAAAATTCGACTGTTTATTGACTTTAAGCATAAAAATAAAGTTATTTTGATATTATTATGATTCTTTCTTGACATTTACGTATTCCTTCGGTAATTAGCTAGAATTAATCAATTTAAAAATAATTAATATTTTTATAATTATATACCTATGATATATTTAGAAGTATAAAGAAAAGGAATAACAGCGTTTTTATGCGAAATGAGATGTTTCGTCAAAATAGAAGCATTTTCTTCAATAAATTGAGTTGCCAGAAGTCTGTCAATAGACATCTCGATGTCGATGATACTGGGAAATATTTCCTCATATGAAATTAAGTCCCAGCCGTTATCTTAAAAATAATTATTAAAAATTGTTTAAGATTGTTAAGATCTTTTTATTAGTTGAATAAATTTATTAACTATATTTTTTGTCATTATATCATATTAGAAATCCAATTATGTTCTTACTTAATAAGATTCGCTTGTCCCATTCAGGCATTTGACTCTTTGGATCGTCCACATTACATCGTATTTGTATTTCTTGTTTTTTCTGTAATGTAGAAAGATACATGCATTAAATCTTTCCATTATTTTTGCATAAAATTTCGTACCATCGTGATAAAGTCTGGAGTTAGCAGTTGAATTGCACGGTATTCCAATTTCACAGGTTTAAAAATATCGCGCAGAATGCAGGGATAAATTTGTGGGTAACTTGTAATACCTTTTGTGGTAATTGTTAATGGATCTACATGAGTCACCTAAATATCAATAGTAATTATAATGCACTATATAATAACAGTTTGAATTATATTTTATATAATTGTATCTTAAATAATAATTTTCTGATTTGTTCATAACAAAAATATAATCGTAATGTTGAATTAAAGTAAATTAGTATGTTGTATTATGACACACTTGCAACTCAAACTCTATTTCAAAAGCGCCGAGCAGCATGGGTTGAAGTTCGATCGTAATTTTTAACGATGATAGAGGATCTATAGATCCTTTATTCGGTTCAATTGTTAACATGCCAATTGTAGAGTCGAGATTGCTCGTTTTGAATATTAAATTTCTCTTGTTTATTTTGTAATCTATACATATCGTGCTATGATTTTGCAAAGTAAAGCTTGACCGACACAATTCGCCGAATAACTGTGGTGTAGATCGATATATTAAATTAGTAAACTAGACTGAATGTTAAATTAACTTTAAATGAAACAATAGAGTGAATTATTAAATTAACTAATCAGACATACATTAGTTTTTTATTTCATTGTTAGTTTTTTTTACATTCCAATATTAAATTTATTACATAGCGAAATAACTATTATTAAAACAAAAATTATTATTAAAAAATATAAAAAATATAATAACTATTATTTAAAAAAAAAATAAAAAAAGTGCAGACTGCTTAAAAAATATGTACTGTAATTATTGAAATTGAAAAATAACTCACTTGTTGACCAAAGTCGATGACCTGTTTGTCAACAGAATATCGAATAACGTCTGCGCTGGCAAATACATTAACTATTTCAGTAGGTCCTTGAAGAATTTCACAAAGCGCGACAACTTTGAGTTGCATAGGTTCGGAAGCATGGAAAATGAAGCTTATATATTGCGAGGAAAATGGCATGAGGACGCCTTCGTGTGGAATGATGTCAAGTATCTATATAAATCGTTAGCTTTGCCATTAGTTTTAAAATATTAATTTACTGCAGAGATAGCAATATACTTTTTAAATATAGTAAAGAATTTATAATATACTATTTATAATAAATATTAATTTAATTTAAATAAATTTTATTTGGAAAAAAGACGAACATCATCGAGTGGCTCCTTCGTAAGTGGCTCGAAATTCGAATCTATATGAGTAAGAATTTCTGGATCATCTAGACACCGTAAATAGGATGTTTCTATCGTTGACATAAAAATACTTCTTAATTTTTCGAGTGTTTCATCTAACGTTTCCGATTGAATTTGCATTAGCAAATTCTTTGAATTTGAAGCTTCTTGCAGTTCTGATAATAGATGTGAAAAATATACGCATAAAAAATGTAAGCTCTTAAAATCATTAAATAAAATAAATTACGTTATTAATAATATAAAACATTGTTTAATTAATAATAATTTACAGTAAATATGTATTAAAGGAATATTATGAGTTAATTTTAACATTAAAAATTTTAATAAGAAACATTTATTAATACATACCATATGATGTTGAAATTGATAAATCGAGAATTTCATTTTCGGTTTCCTGAGAGATAGTCTCTGATTTCTTTTCAATATTGGAAGAATGAGAATTAAATTTATTATTTTCTGCATTAATTTGTAATTGTAAATGATTTGTGGAATTCTGTTAAAAAATGTGTGTTGTTAGTTATTCAGAATTATTGAAAATTATCGGAAATAATTTGTAACAAATAATAAAATATTTATTTTTTTATATCGGTGCAACTTAACTCTAACATCATGTGCTCCACGTTCAATTTCAATACTCTCTCCGGCCCATAGAAATTTATATATTACGGGAATTGGTCCATTATTGGTCACCCTCAATGTTTCTTTGGCGGTAGAACCCAAAATACTATTAATAATCAAATTTTTGGAATGTAATGTAATATTCGGGAAATTTACTGCACCTTTGCATTGAATTTTGTTCTAAAATTAGTTAGAAAACATTTTTGCATTGCTTTAATTAATTTTGCAATAAACATTTTTCAATACCTTAGTAGGATGCTCTTCATATTCAAACCAGAGCACACCGCTATAATTTTGCGAATAAGGATAATTAGGTTTTATATTTGGTGAAAATTTTACCGGAATTATCGTGGAAGTTTTGTCTATCAAAACAATTTTCTTTTCACGTACAAACTTTTTCTTATTGTTCATCAAATAAAAGGGAGGGTCAATATACAATAAAACATTTAAATTCATTCCTGATTGATTTGTCACCATTAGTTTATCTAAAAATTAGAAACATTAGTATTATTTTATTCAGTATAAAAAAATTGCAAATATTTAAATTATATAAAAATCCTAATTGTTTATTACGCAATAAACTTTGACGCCAAGTATCTCATGAATGCCCTTTAGAATATTATATTGCACAACTTTTCCGGATAGTTTACATTGCTGAAATAGTTTCGAACATATTAATATAATTTCCTCTACCTATCTGTTGCAACTTTTCTCCCTCGGGACATATATCAATACAAAACGTTAATTCTCTCTTGTTGAATGCAATCCGTGGCTCCATAAAAGTGGCTTTAAATGTAGAAGTTCCTATCAATTTTTGCTTTCGTTGTCCGGAAATTTGCTCAAATATATACCAATCTTCCGTCAAGATTTCATTTCTTTATTGTAAACACAGAAACATTTTTAAATAATATTATTAAAAAATTTCGAAAGAAATTAAAAAGAA